ACCACATTGGTTCTCATACAAAAGATTTTCATTTTCGTTGGACCAAATCAGGACTGCACAATTTTTCATCTCTTGCATTATCTGTGAACAGTCTTACAAGATGATTTTGAGAGAAAAGATCTAAACTTCTGCGAAAAATACCAAATCAGAGTGCATGAATGCATGTGCTAAGGCTGATGTTTAGGGACAAATTGGAACAAGGATGACATGAGAATTCATTTAAACCTGTGGAGATAGAAAGGGATTGGAGAACAGCTACACTTTTCCGAGTTTTAAGGAACTGTGATTTGCACAAATCTTGTAAAACATAGAAATAGTAAAACAAATTAACCCAGAGAAAGTTGTCATTAAAAGGCCACATGATATGCTATACAATTTACTGCCAAAAAAAAAAAAAAATCACAGGCTAAGGATAAACAAGTGTGACCAGGTAGGAATATTGTCTAAGTGACAATAATTGTCAGAGACTCCACACCTTGGGAAGCCTGATTTTCCTTACTCTACATTCTGTTCCCCGGCTAGAGTAAGGTGTTCCCAGTTTGGCATACAGTGCAAAATGCCCAATGACTCATGTGACAGATCTGAGGGAGGAGGCAGACCCCTCGGCACCAGAGCCCGGAGCTGGCAGTGGAGGAGAGATAAGCTGGCATGCAGCATTTCCTCTCCATCAGAGAGAGGAGCCGCCAAGGTCTGCTGCTTGGTGACATAGTCCTGGGGTGAGGTCTGCACAGGGAGGGGGAGGAAGAGGACTGCAGGAGGCCAGGAGACTTTCTAGGTTTTCCAGCATAGTTCATCTAGTGTCTCAGGAGTCTGGTGGCGCAGGGACTTCAGAGCAACCAGCCACAGTGGGCCTGGCTTTGCAAGCAGAGGGAAAGGAAAGAGAGTGAGTGATGGGAGAGAAGAGAGTGCGTGCCAGGCAACCCCTTCAAAGATGTGGGGAAGCCTCATGGCCAAGAATAAAGCAGCACAAAAAAGTAAAGAATGAAGCAGTGCGATATGTGGTAATTGATTATTTTTGCCTGAGTGGAGCATGTGTTAGATCAGTTTTAGGTTTCTAGGAAATGGAGCAGAGGGTACAGAGGCCCCCGCACCTTCTTTCTGCTCCCCACATCCCCCCCACCCATTAACATCATGCGCTGAATGGGACATTGTCATAAATGATGAACCCATTTTGACACATTATGATGAACAGAAGTTCATCATGAGGGTCCACTCTTTCTGCTATATAGTCTGCGGGTTGTGACAAGTCACAGTTATGCAACCACTATCACAACAAGAGAGCTTTCCTGTCCTAACAGCCCATGTTCTTCCTATTTATCCTCCCCCACCACCCTCATGCCCAGCAAGCAGTGATGCTAGCTAGTTTTCTGAAATACTGTCAAGTACGTATCATGCACCAAGGACAATCTGAGGCCATTACTCAACCCAGTAACAGCCTGTGAGGAAGTTATTATCCTAATTCTCATTTTTAAATGAGGATCAAGACACAGAGAGTAAGTGACTTGCCCGAGGTCACACAGCTGGTAAAGGGCTGGAATGAAATCTGCCATCTGGCCCCAAGTCCTTGCTCTTTGCTGTAGGGCAAATGCAAGTCCAACTGTGTCTCCTGTCTAAGTGTGGAGAGGTTAGGGGAGATGGACTTTCACCACTGTTCTGTGGCAACATGAAGGATCCTGCAGAATGAAGAATGCTGGATTTAAAAAATTGATGCTTTTTATTATAAAGTAGATCCAAAACAATAATGCTTGTCATCAATAACAATTTGTTTGATACCCTGACACAAAAGGGTATCAAAACAGAAAACACTTACTGAGCATTTGTTGTGAGTTAACCTGCCCTAGCATTTGAAATGAGCCATTTTTTGTAATTCTGAAAACAAACTTAAGATAAACACTGGTTAAATTCCCATTTTATTCAAGAGAAAGCTTGACTCCAGAATACTTCTGTGATTTACCAAACCTGGGCACTTGGAGAGAAGAGCACAGCATCTGGAACTGAAGGCTGTATCCTCCTGTCCACACTCTGGCCACCTAACTACAGTGGCCAGAGTGGGCTGATTTGCACATGAGATATCTCAGACCGGGGCTGTATGTACCTGTCAGATCACAGTATTCCTCTAGTACATGCTTGAAAAACTCTCTGGGGTTCTTCTACTCTTGTTATGATTTGGGTCTGGAATATACCCAACCGGTCCATGCATTGAAGGCTTAGTCTCCAGCTGGCACTAGCTGGAAGCTTGGCAGTCACTGGAGGTCTATCCTTGAAGGAGATGCTGAGCCCTGACAACTTCTTGCTCTTTTTTGCAATCCCACTCATGCTGATCAGTTTTGCAGGACCACAGAGTCCCACCACGGTGTTTCTCCCTTGTTACAGACCCAGCATCAATGTGATCAACCAGTCCTGGACTGAAACCTCCAAAACTGTGAACCAAAATAAACTTTTCCTTTTCTTATATTTATCATCTTAAGTATTTTATTACAGTAATAGAAAACTGACTAACAGATTCATTGTCTCTAGATTAGTGATTCTAAAGTTCCCATGTGTATAAAACTCATAGGTTACTTTTGCAAATCCATCTCAAAGGCTTAAAAAACTGATTCTTCTCTGGAAAAATGTATCATATGTGTATTATCTGGGACTGTAGAAGCAACCCTGACCAGGGGCTCCTATTGCCATGGATGGCTCCAGGGCTAGCACAACATCAGCTGCATGGTGCCAGGACAGATGTGCAGGTGCTACCTGTTGGGGACAATACATGTCCATCTACCTCTCCTAACCAGGGCTATCTCCCCTGACAGAGCAAAGGCTCCTTCACTGGTAATATTGGTGGAAATGAGGTAGATACAGACTGGATCTCCTAGAGAGATGGTACCCAGACTGGGCCTTCCAGAAAGTAGCCACCAGGCAGGACAGTCACAGAGCAGGTCAGACATCACACTTGAAGTAATTGCCCTGCACCAGGTACTACCCAGGCTACAGGTGGAAAAGGGTTAAAGAATGTGTGAAATCTTCTTAGACTCAAGCACCACTTGTCTCAAGCTTGTTGCATGACAAGACAGAGGGTGGCAGAGCTGCCGTGCTAGTGGGCTTCTTTCCCTCTTCTAGCTCTATAGCTGGTCTATAAGATAAGCAAGTTCTCCCAAAGAATGGGGGCCCCCACCACCTGAGCAAGTCAGCAAGCAGAGAGCACAATCATTCCAGGCCCATCTTCTCATCAGCACTGAGAGTTCAGGCTGCTGCTTGTTTATTTATGAGACCTCACAGTAGTCACGATTTTCAGTTCAGGAATTAACCCTGTTTTCAAGGCCAATTGATCTGGGTCCCCTCACCTGGTCCCCACCTGGTCTGATCCTGTCTTGTGACCACTGTTTCCCGCTCCCAAGCCTTTCAAGTTTGAAATCAGACACATTGATCGAACACACTTGGGTCTAGCCTATTCAACCATCAGGAAACAGTTTTTTCCTGAGTCTGGAGTTTCCCTCCTTGAACTCTCTTTCTTTCTTATGACCATGATGGCCTTCGGTTTGTACGGACAGATGGCTGTTTTCAACCTGTGGGGGATGAATGACACTTAGAGTATCCATCCCACCTCTGGAGGCTGGACAAGGCCCAAAGAAGGTGGTGGACAGAACTCACAAAGGAGGCAGAATGTGGGGGCTATGAAGGTTCATCATGAGCTCCCGTGGTACGATGGTCAGCAAAGAAAGTGTTTGCCTGCCCTTGTACTGACCTAGTGACTCCAGGATTATGAGTCACAGATAGCTGGGCCATCTGTCCTTTTGGTGAGCACTAACTGAAACTGAACTAGGCTCTAAGTAACTGAGATGATTAACTCAGCAAGGGGAAAGGCAGGTGAAGTGCACCAGGGAGTGACTGACAAATGGGGTAGAGCCATACAAGGGGCTTTGGGGCTTTGTCCCAACTACAGTGGATGTCTCTCATATTTTCTCTGGATAAACAACTGCTTGAATGTGTCCTAAAAGCTGCTAGCTTCCCATGAGATGGCAGCAACAATATAGAAACTTTCAACATACTGTATTAACATAGTGCCAGAGCTACTGAGTACCAGGATGATTGTGTATTAATGTTCTGATGTAATTACAGGTCACTAAAATTACCCGCTGTGACCTTGAGACTGTAACTTCACTTTTGCACTGGACTCTTCTGATTATTCTAAGGTGCACTCTTAGGAAATCATGGAATTGGCTTTTCTTGGTTTCCTTTCGGATCACAGATTTTACATTCTACAACTGGCAGACCTGTCCCTATTAAACTCTGCCCCTGCTCCTCCGAGAGTCTCCTTCTTCTCAACTTCCCTCCAGAAATTCCTCCCCATTTCTACTAAAAGGTGATCTCCTAGGGTTTGCAAAAAGAATCCATCCTGTCCTCAGCAAAGTCTCACCTGCTCTCTGGGCCTCAGGATCCTGCTGATGTGAAAGCATTATAATCCGTGCAGGGTGTAAATGATTATTTCATGTAACAGTGAAATACTATAGACTCCTTCATCCTCTATTTTCTTATCTGTACCTTGAAGATCCTATTACAACCTACTCCCTAAAACCACTGCAATGACTATGTCAGAGCTGCAGAAAACTACAAGGCGCCCACTTTTAAATAGACTTTCAGATATAAACTGGATAGCTGTTGAGGCTAAGGATGTTCCAAATGCTTCACAGGGCACCGTCCTGCTACAAACTAATGGTGTGTGTATGAAATTCAAATGTAAATGGGCATCCTGCATTTTCAGTCACTAAATCTGGAAATTCTGATTAAATTGTGTAAAGAAATATATTGGGTTCCTGGCACTCAAATAAACTCAATGATTGTTGTTAATGACAGCAACACTTGGCTATAGAGCAGTCTGGTCCTGAACTTTGAGCTTGAGAGTGTGCTTTAGTTCCATTTCCTGATGCTATAAATAAATGTCACAGCATAGGTATATTATAAAATATGGGAGGTTATTTGTTTTTTTTAATTTTTTTTATTTTAAAGAGATTAAGATAAAAGAAGACATAACAGAGCAGATCAGAACAGGACAATTTAAGCAACACAGTATTTCACCACAAGGCAACCTGATAACACAGTAACTACCATATTGTCTTTTCCTTGAGATAGTTGAGCATACCTTCATACACAGTAGTATCAAACATAACAAAATGGTATAAAATCATTCAAGAGAATGAAAGTATTACAGGGCATTCAGAATCAAATAACCGAAAATAAACAATGGTTACAATATTTTCCCATTGTCCATAAAAAATTTGTTTATACTACCACACACGATAAAATCCAATAAGATACAACATGATAGAACCAATGGAAACTGAAGAACAAAAGCTTGGTGGGACTTCAAAACAAGATGATATTAAATCAGCACTGGCTATTATAATGTCTTGTTTTCTTCAAAATAGCTGTTCATACCATCACAGATAATAAAATCAAACAACCCAGGATAAAACCATTCCAACTAATGAAGGGAAACATTATAAGGCTTCAAAGCAATGTAATGGGGAATCATGATTACCATAAACTTTTGTGTACTCTTACCATTTCTTACACTGAGACTATACGATATTTATACATGTGAGTTTGATTTATCTCGCTTATGAGTATGGTCTCAAGTTGTGTTCATTTATTTACAAATATCTCAATGTGACCATTCTTTATAGCTGAGTAGCACTCTATTGTATAAAAATACCACAACTTTTTTATCCATTCCTCAGTTGGTGGACAGTTAGGTTGTTTCCAAGATCTGGCTATTACAAATTGTGCTGCTATAAACATGGGTGCACATATTTCACTGTGGTATGATGTTTTCAGTTCTTCTTGGAATATTCCTAGAAGTGGAATAGTTGAATCAAATGGTACTTCCAATCCCAGGTTACTGAGAAATCTCCAAACTGTCCTCCACAATGGTTGCACCAGTCTATAATCCTACCAACATTTGGCTCATGGTACGCTGAGAAGTCCAAGAGCACTGGACTGGCATCTGGAGAGGGCCTTCAGGCTGTGTCACAACATGGCTGAAAGGCAAAGAGCACTTATGAGACAAGGAGAGGCAGTTGGACCAATGTATCTTTTTTTTTTATCAGGATCCCACTGCTGAGATAATTAGTCTATTCTCACAATAATGGATAGTGTCATTGATCCACTCCTGACAGCAGAGCTTTCATGGCCTTATCACCTTTTAAAGGCATCATGTCTTAGTATATTGCAATGGAAGGTCAACTCAACATGGCTCTAGAAAAGGCTCAGAGAAAGGAAAGAGTGGCTGGGGCCCAGAAATGAAAAGCAGGTGGTTCTTGTGTTAATTTCTTGTGGTTCCTATTACAAATTAGCACAAACTTTAGGTTGCTGGAAACAACAGAAATTTAGTCCCTTGGTTTTAGAGGCCAGGTATCCACTATCAAAATGTCAGTACAGTCACACTTCCTCCACATGTTCTAGGATGAATCTTTCTTTATCTCTTCCAGGTCATGGGCTTGCATGTGTTTTTATGTGTTTCTTAGAGGACATGGATCACAGATGCAGGTCCCAGTTGAATAATCCATAAGGGTCTCATGTCAAGATCCTTAACTTGGTCACATCTACAGGGAATCAAGTTCCAAATTAGGTTACATTCAGAGGTGCCAGGGGAAGAGAAGGGGCCATCTGGGAATTTAGTACAGTGGGGGTTGAGGAGAGCTGTAGAGGATCTGGTAAGGGAGTGGAGCTACTAATGAGGGGTGCTCTCTACAAGACGGAAGAGTACAAACTATGCTAAGGGCCTTAGGGAGCCACTTAGGGCTTCGGCCTGGAAGTGGCCTCCTGAAAATTATGTTCTGAGAAGTAGACGCTGGACTGACTGAAGTGAAGCTGGAAAGCCAGAAGAGTTCAGTAGGAAGGAAAGTGAAAAAGCCTGACAAATGTTCCAGAGAGAAGAGTGCACTTAGCTGACTTTTCCTACAGTGGTCTAACACCATGGTTTCACACCAATGGCTTAATTACTGTAGCCCCCATTCAGGAGCACAGGTGGCTCCTTTCTACAAGCCACAGGGAAGTGGGTTTCAGTGCAGCGCAAGGTCAACAGACAGCATCTCTCCTTTTGTGGGGGAAAGCAAAGCTGAAAATCATGAAGTCCACATAAATTAAACCATTGTACCATTTGGCAGGGACAGAACCTTAGATCCTCACTAGGAAATAACTCAGAAAATGTATAGTTCTATCAGTGAAAGAGGGAAAGTCCAGAGAGGCCACTGGAAGCTCAGGCAGGTTCAGTCTCTTCCTAACCTGCACTCACTCCTATCAAAACTGCAGGGAACAAACTAGATCTGTATTATAGCTAGGCAACTCCCATTTTATAGGACTTCTAACCCTGCACTCAAACAAGCCTCATAGTCTGATGCCCTTCTCACCTGGAGCATCCCTGACATGAAATGTGGTCCACCCAGTCCTTGGATGTCCCTTGAGGACACAGTAACTGGAGAAAGCTGTGCTCCAGATGCGAGATTTGGCCTCAACGTCTTTCCTCTTCTTGTGGACAGCCATGGGTGGAACTCTGAGCCATGTGCACAGCCATAGGCAGACCTCTGAAATGCCTAAGTGGCTGCAGGCCAGTCAATTTCTGGTTCCAAGAGCTGAGGCCTGCCCACTCGGAGGTGGACCACAGGCTGTTCTGCCAGTGTCCTCACTTGGGCTTTCAGGAAGGTATCTGATTCCAAAGGCTTGAGCAGCACCTCATGTTCTGCCAGAGCGTGACTCTCATTAAGAGAGGCTGGCCAAGCCATAGCGGGGAAGTGCTAATTGGATGTGGTTGAAAGCTCAGGCATGGAAGCTGCAACAGCTACTGACCTGTGCATAGAACTGACAATGATGCAATAATGCAATTGCCCAGACACTGTGGTGGACCTCTCCTTGCTCGCCACCCTCTTTTCTGTGATAGTGACATTGGGCTATCTTTTTTCCTTCTGGAGTCAACTATGACATCAGCCTATAAAATAGCTGGGAAGAATGCTGAGTCAGTTTTTTTCTATCTCCAAGTAGAGAAGAGGATAGAATACTCACGCTGGACATAAGGAAATGACTATATATTACATATCAATTTCAACCGGGACAAACTTAAAATCAATTCGCAGTGTCATGACATGGGCTCTGCAACTCAAAAGCACCTTCCTGGTTATGACTTTCAGCAGCTGCCACCTACCATTCTTTTTCAGTAATAGAACCAGGCATATATTGGTTGCATGCAGAGACACATGGACATAAGTCTTTCTTTCTACCTCACACTTAGGAAATATAGGACAGAAGAGCCCAGCCATCTACTACAGACAGAGAAGTGAGGGCTCTGCGGTATGCAATGTGTGTATATGCAGTGTGTGTACATATGCATGTGTATTGCTTCAAAATGTTCTTAATGCATACCTACCTATAAGACACACACACACATATGTGTGGCTTTTGCACATGTGTGGTATGCACAACTATCCACTTAATGCCACCCCTCAGGTTTCCTGCCTTAGTTGTATATAGCACTACAGGAGTCATTCAGGTGCTTCTAAGACACACATGTGGATGTACATGTACACACAAGTTAGCTGAGTGTAACAAAAGTTTGTGAGAGTCCAGTTAGATCTTCCCATTTGCCCACAACTTCTGTGATAACCCAGCCAAATTGGCCAGTGGTTGCCCTCAGAGCCCTGTGCCCTCTCCTTGTGTCTTTTCTGGTAGGCTAAAAAGAGGATACACCCAATTTTGCAGTCTTTGAGGCATCTCACCAAGCCCTCCGACTTTTCCCTCTGTTCAGTTACAGGCAGAATGGGAGTGGACAGAAGGATACACCAGGGGAACTGGAATTTGCATTCAGGCTGACTAAGATGGGAAGAAAATGTAATGAGATAAAACTTAAATTGGACATCTGAGCATGAATTTCACCTTACTACATGTGAATTTTTTTAAATCCAAAATATTTATAATTAAGCTCTCTCATTATCAAATTAAATAGATATGCCTCTCATTTCACACAATAAGCATGTTCCTGAGAAGCTACATAAGAAGAGAATTTTTAAAAATCAAATTATACTTTTCAAAGTACTTGGAGAGCTTTCTATTTAAAAGAATCCCACAAGGAATCCTCCCTTAGAATGAAGAATCCTATTGTAATGCAAATGATCGCCTCCTAATTTATCTGTTTTCTAAATTCAAATAAACTCCAGTTTATTCCGAGTGGTCAAAGAGCAGGGTCTTCTGGTTAATTGAATATTCATGTTAATTTGGAATCTCCATATGTACTATATGTTGATTACCAGTTTTCACAAAACAAGAATATAATAAAACACACTTAACAACGAAATTATGCTGAGCCTAATTACTTTTTTCTTGATAATCCAAAAGCAGTGAGGCCCTGAAAGCGCACAGACTTGAGCTTAAAGAGAGAAAATAGGCTTAATCATATGAATCCTGGGACCCAATGTGACCTGGTAGTTTCATTTTGACATAGGTCTTTTGATACCCCCCCCCCCCGCCTTGCATTCATTTTGTTTTAAAGAAAATAAACACTGTGGCTCAGAGTAATTCATATCCTGGAAATGAACCGGTCTCCAACTCTTCACACTTATTTAATGGAGAGTCAACCACATCTACATATGTAGACCTCTTTCCAAAAGCCAGTCAAATTCTGAAAAGTAAAGCAAGATTTAGCTGTTCTTCTCTGCTTGCTGTCTAATGAGGTATGAGAAAGGCACCAGTTCACGAATGTGCCATACTTACAGCCAGTGCCTGACCTAGGTAAGATGATGATCTTGGTTCATATAATGATGAAGGAAATGATTCGTTTCAAAAGCAAAGTGCACAGCATCCATTCCTCTTTTCGCAAACAAAGTCTTATCTCTGCTTCCAAATATCCTTCTCTCCCTGCCACGGGCTGGCACTCGTTAAGCACAGGGCAGCCCAAGTTCTTTGATGCTTTAAAATCCACTCACTTCCCTGAGGTTTGTTAGGAATGCTTTTCTAAGGAGTCCAGCAACTATCCATTCCTATTTAAGCAAATAAGGTTAGCTACCTTTTGCCATTCACAATTCAACAGCCCTCCTAAATTAATTTCTCCAAAAGTAATTCAAATAAAAGCGTGGTTGCCACTACTCTTTTCTGAGCCACAAGATTGAATAAGGCATCTGAATAAAAATGTGTATTACAGCCTTCTTTAATATTTAAGCATGACATTCATTGATTTGTTTCTTGTTTTCTGCAAACCTTGACAACATGATAAAATAAATCATAAGAACAAAATATAGTGGTAACATCTTTTATGGACTTCACATAGTCATCAATCTCAAGCTGTGAGTGAATTATCAGTACAGCAAAAAGATCTATGTTTTAAGAGCTCCAGTAGCATGCTAGCTGGGGGTTTTTCAGAAGCAAACTCAAAGCGAGTGACTGATAAGCATCATTATTGTTTTCTGAGAGTCTAGTTTATGGTGTGTGTGGAGGTGTTGCATATATGTTTCGGAAGCAAAGGGTTGATCAATTCTAAGTAGACATCTACTAACATATAAAAAATATAACAAGCCTTCCTGCTGAGCAGCGTTATAGTAGCTGCCACCCTTGTCAGCCTGACAAGCCTTGCATTGTTTCTGACTGTATTTAATATGGAATTAACCTTTCTTAATGTGATGTACTCTGCATGAAACATGGATCAACTTAGAGACATTTGGACGCATTCCTTATTTGTGTTGTGAAGTTGTAGCAGCATCACTATACATACACAGAAGAAAAGAGAGAAAAGTCATGAATTGCAGTATAATTGCAAGTCCCTGGGTATACCACACACAAAAAACTGGAAAACTGCATACTGGTTGAAAGGCACTCGAACACGTGACTGGGCTTGGAAGATCATTTAGGGTACTGGAAAAGCATCTGAAGCGTGACAATCTTTTCATAATCATCCGTGTGCACAGTGGTGTGGTCAGATCCTTGCCACTCCCTCTGGAGAAACAGAAACTTTCAACAATGATCTAGATGTTTGTGAAACCATCTTGGTGACTCTGAA